ATAAATAGGTACCACTTCGGTGGGAAGGTCACAGCGTTCCGTGCGCCTTGGTGTTTAGTCATGCCGGCCACATGACCACGGAGACATTTTCGGACAGCGCTGGCTCTTCGGCTTCGAAACGGAGATGAGCACCGCAACCCTAGAGTCGGATTCGACTGGCTTTCGAGCAAGGGGAACCTTTACCTTTACCTTTAATTACTGAGATCCAGTAGTTATTGTATGTTTAATCTTACATTTTTACGCACCGTGTGATCAATAGTTTTATTTTATTTCAAGTTTTTGCTGCTCAACCTTTTAGGTTCCTGATTTGGACAGCTCAAGCAATAACTGCTGGAGGGGCTCTCCATTTTCAGAAAAATGCCTCGCTGATAGAAATAAATAACCCAGTTGTCTGCTGGGAAACCACGCAAGCATCTTAACCTTATTTTCCCTGATCCAGCTGCATTCCCAGATGTGGATGTTGCACGATCACATTCACAGGCATGCCCATCCAGTTCTGTAGGGTTCACATTGAGCATGGGTTTGGAAGGGGCCATGGCTCAGTCAGCGGTAGAGCATCTGCTTGGCATGCAGAAGGTCCCAGGTTCAATCCCCAGCATCTCCGGTTTGAAGGAACCAGGTAGGAGGTGATGTGGAAGACCTCAGCCTGAGACCCTGGAGAACGGCTGCCAGTTTGAGTAGACAATACTGACCTTGGTGGACTAAGGGTTAGGCATAGAGATGTGAAGGCCCGGAAAACACCCTGGAAAATTCGGGGGGGAAACAGTTTTTTCCCGTTTTTTTCCAAAAAATTGGAAAAAGAAAATAAAAGGGAAAATTGATTATAGAACATTTTATTTTAACATAATGAATAGAATATTTTAAGACAAGGTGTTCAAATATTTTCCAAATCATTTCTAAAAAATACGTATGGTATCAGATTGGTCTGATTTCTGAGGACAAAGCAAGTCCTAGGTTACAAACTGAACTCTCCAATGCAAGAACAAGATGCATTTCTTCCTTTAGGAGGTGCCATTGTCACAAGAAGAGAAAAAGTTTTCAGATTTGTTTTTGCATGTGGGTGGGTATTCTGTTTGTAATAATTGTTTGGATACACTGTATTTTTCATATGCTAGTTGTGATCATTTCATGCCAAGTAAAAATATCCATAGTCATATTTTATGTTCCTAAAGTAACAGAATGACTTTCAAGCTGGAAAAGAAAAAAGAAGTTCTAATGTAGCATTTTCAATTTTTCCGGGGGGGAAAAGGGTTTTTTTCTGAGCTTCAAAATTTCGGGAAATTTTGCATCTCTTTTAGGCAGTTTTATGTGTTTGTTCTTCCTGTGATTCACACACTCACTAGCTCCATAGGCAGGAGTTGGCTCAGAGATGCAGTACTCTCTTGCCGGGGTCAGGGCAAAGTGAAGAGATCCACAAGAAGATCCAACAAATGACACGCAGCCAGAAATGCACGGGAAATCTTGCTAAACATGAATTCCCTACTCCCTGATGGGGCTTCGTGGTTCCTCTTCTCTGGGAACGTGGAACAACAGAGGCAGTGGTGAGATTTTAGGCAGGTGAGGCCTGGTGTCTCTTGGCTCCATCCTGCCTTTTGCAGTTGCATGATAATCAGGTCTTTGTTTTCTTCTGCTGCATTTGCATCCCAGACTTTCCCCAGGGCACCAGCCCTGGGAATTACGTTAAGCTTGAGGTGCGAGCACTCCGCCCCAGGCCACCCGTCCAGCTTCAGAGCCCAGTGGGTAGGTCCCAGGCTTTTTCCCACAGCATCACACAAGGTCTCAGCAGCATCCTGACGTGGAGTATCTTAGCAAAGCATACTTTAGGCCAGGGCCCTGCCTCACATTCCGTGACAAGAGCAGGGGTCTTGGAGCAGGGGTCCCCGACGTGTCTGAGCCTTCGGGCACCTTTGGAATTCTGACATGAAGTGGCGGCAGGCCCATAGCCAGGATCTTGTGGCTTGTGGGGCAATTTTTTTTTTGGGTGGGGCTGAAGTTCCCAGTGCAGAAAGGAAAAGCCATTTAGCCCCATAGAAAGTGGTGACCAGGGTAGAACTCTAAATTGCAAGCTGTCCACCGCTTTAGAGGACAGTCCTCCGCTGCTGCAAGTTAATCACTTCTGCCAGCCCAAGCAACAGTTCTGAGAACAAGCCGGCAGGTGGGGGCGGTGACTTCTGTAGTCAAGAAAGCTCACACTTAGGCAGAAAAACACTCTTAAAGGAGACCGGTTTCTTGACACAGAGTTAGAAGATCCTAGAGGTCACCAATACGCACATCTTCTTTGTGCAGAGATTTCCATAATCCCTGGGAGAATTCAAACTTCCATTCCCTTATCTGCACCAGTCCCGTAGCCAGGATTTTATGGCTTGTGGGGCAATTTTTTTTCTGGTGGGGCTGAAGTTCTCAGTGCGGAGAGAAAAGTCAGAATTCCAAGGATTATGACTCAGCTACTGTGGAATCAAGCTTTTTAAAATCAAAGCACAGAGGCTTCTGCAAATCTTAGCACCAGAGTGTGACAAGGGGAAACTGAGAAAAGGGGGGGGATACATTTTCTGGTAGAGGTTGGGCATGGCACTGGAAATACTTATCTGGGTTTGGCCAGTAAACTCAAGCCGGCAGCTGGGGGTGATGATTTCTATAGTCAAGAAAGCCGACACTTAGGCAGAAAAACTCTCTTAAAGGAGACCACTTTCTTGACACAGTTAGAAGGGACCCTAGAGGTCACCTACTCCAACTCCCTTGCTCAGTGCAGGAATCAGTCAACTACCACACCCCACTCGGCTTAAAGGAGTGCACAGCTTTAAAAATGTTTTAAAATGATTGAAAAAAGCATCTACATGAGAAATTTTTGTGGGGCTGTGCCTTTAAGGAGGGGGCGGAGCCCCCAAAGGCCCCACCATAGCTACAGGCCTGGTCGCTTTACACCAAGGAGTCACTACCCATCTGCCACAGGAGCCATGTGTATTGCAAAGGATTCTGGGGAGTGTTCTAGGTCATTTTGATTTACCTCGTAGCTCTATTTTCCACTGCAAAGGCAGGGAACAGAATGTCCACACAACAGTTTTTTTCCCTTTCCTGGTCTCGGTCTTCCATGGCTGTGAGAGAGTGAGGGAAGGAAAATGGGGCCAGTGTGGGTGGGACCTTGGATAATACTCGCCTTCCTGGCAAGACCACCCGATAACACGCTTAGGCTGCGCTGTCTCTGAAAACAGTGGGGGGGAAATGGGTTTCCCCCTGAATTTTTCTGGTTTTTTTCCGGGCCTTCACATCTCTAGTCAGAAGCCCTGTTTCATCTCACCCGCTTCCTAGATGCACTTGCTGGGCGCCAATGAAGGTGTCGGCAGGCACCATTGCACTCACAGGCTCCATGCTAAGGACTCCTGCCTCAGAGGGTTTTTTTTTGTTGAAGCGGCTGGCTGCGTGGTCTGCTAGCGGGTGACCATGACTGGAAAAGTTCTGTTGTGCAGATTCAGATGGGTAGCCGTGTCGGTCTGAAGCAACAGAATAAAGCTTCAGTCCGGTGGGACTCCCCGGGGGTGCAGAAAAATCTGAAATTAAAAATAAAAGAAGCTTTTAGATCCCCTCCCCCAAATACATTTATGTTATCTCCACATGCACAGACTACGCTCTTCTTGCATGAGGAGCTGGAGGATGCCGGCTGCGTAAGTGGAACCCGATTTCAGCAATTTCGACAGACCAAAAGGTTCTTAGTGTAAGAAGCAAATCATAGGTTCCTTATGTCTTATCCACAAAGGCGGAAACATTGTATCATTATGCCTTGTTATAGTCACAGCACGCACTAATGTCGTTTTTGTGACACCACCAACTTTATAATTGTTTAATATATTGTTTGGCAATCTTTGATGGTGTCTTCTACTAGTGGGGGTAGAGCCCGGCAGCCCGGCTGGATTCCCAGGGAGTTGCCCTGGATGGCAATGGGGGGGGGAGTTCAATCCCCCCTCAAGTTTCGTGGGTCCCCCACTTGCGTTACTCTAACAGTACACACACAACAAACCTTTATTGGCATAAGAACAGCAGCAGCCTTAGGAACAGAGGCGGTAGGCACGCAAAAGAGTTAATTCACTACCCCTTCTGCTGAAAAAGAACTTCTCCTAGAGAGCCAGTTTGGTGTAGTGGTGAAGTGTGCGGACTCTAATCTGGGAGAACCGGGTTTGATTCCCCACTCCTCCACTTGCAGCTGCTGATGTGACCTTGGGTCAGTCACAAGCTTTGGCACAGCTGTCCTTGAAAAAGAGTGGTTTGTGTCAGAGCTCTCTCAGCCCCACCCACCTCACAGGGTGTCTGTTGTGGGGAGGGGAAGGGAGAGGAGTTTGTAAGCCGCTCTGAGACTCCCAAGTGAAGGGCGGGGTATAAATCCAATCTCCTCTTCGTCTTCTTCTATACGCTCTGTAAAGGAAGTTTGACTCCTCTTCGATGGTATCAGCCCTGTTTGAGGCTAGAAGGTTCATTATCTTACTTTCCTCAGATCTGCCCTCCAGGGTTTGCAGTATAGGGCCGAGGTGATAAGGGCGCAAACCCTGGTAAAATCTACAAGTCAGAAGTACACAGTCCGTTCCTTCAATCTCCTTTAGCCCACAGGGACGTAACCTATCCGGGAATGGTATTGTTTTAAATCTCCCATATAACACAGCTGAGGGGAGCACATTAAAATGGGCCAGCGTGAATACCCTTCTAATATAGGGATCCATCAGACAGGAAAAATACTCTGGCAGCGGCCCATTAAGAGAAATCCCCCAATGAATGGGAGAGCAATGCCCAGTAGCAAGGCTTCAAAGTCCTTGCATTTCTATATCGGTCTATCTCTGTTTCATCATGCCAAAAGCGTACTTCTCTGAAAGAAGGATTACTCTAATAGTAACTGTTCAGCATGGTGCCCGTGGGCCCCAGGCTGGGGACCCTTGCCCTAGAAGGGTATTTCAGGCTCCCCTTTCTCACCCAACTGATCTCCTCCCATTTTTCTTTTCGTCTAGCAGTAGCTCTCCATGGAGGAACACACGGTGACCCAGACGGAGCACATGGCCACCATAGAGGCCCAGGTGGTGGCCCAGCAAAAAAACACGTGGCCACATACACAGAGCACAGCATGCTCAGCGCCGATGAAGACTCGCCGTCTTCTCCCGAGGACACCTCGTATGACGACTCTGACATCCTCAACTCCACGGCTGCCGACGAGGTGACGGCTCACCTGGCCGCTGCAGGTACACATTTCTTATTTTCTCATGATTTCTCTGGGGCTTCTCTGCGTGGCTTCTGTTTGGTAACACGCTCCAATGGGTGATGCGAAGTAGAGATGTGAAGGCCTGGAAAAAAGCCGGAAAAATTCGGGGGGGAAATGGTTTTTTTCCGTTTTTTCCCTGAAGCTTTTTTGTTTTTTCCCTAAAAATTGAAAAAAGAAAAGAAAAAAAATTGATTATGGAACGTTTTATTTTAACATGATGAATAAAATATTTTAAGACAAGGTGTTCAAATATTTTCCAAATCATTTCTAATATATAAATATATATATGCAAGTCCTAGGTTACAAACTGAACTCTCCAATGCAAGAACAAGATGCATTTTTTCCTTTAGGAGGTGCTATTGTCAGAAGAAAATAAAAAGGTTTCAGTTTTGTTTTTGCACGTGGGTGGGTATTCTGTTTGTAATAATTGTGTGGATACACTATGTTTTTAATATGCTAGTTGTGCTCATTTCATGCCAAGTAAAAAAGTCCATAGTCATATTTTATGTTCCTAAAGTAACAGAATGACTTTCAATCTAGAACCCCCCCCGAAAAAAACCGGGAAAAAACGGGGTTTTTTCCGAGCTTCAAAATTTCCGGAAATTTTACATCTCTAATGCAAAGATGGAGCTTGGAAAAAGATGGCCACTTAAGGCCCCCAGCGGTGTGTGTTACGCGCCGTCAAGTTGCTTCCGACTTACGGAAGCCCTGTGAATGAATGACCTCCAAAACGTCCAAGCGTCCTCTCATTAATTGCTCAGGGATTGCAAGTTGGAGGCTGTGCTTTCCTTTCTTGAGTCAATCCGTCTCATGTTGTGAATCTTGGTGTCCGCTTAACCTCATCTGCTCCTTTTGGTCCCTTTGTCCTGTTCGTTTTTTAAAAATACTATTTTGTTCGTTTTCAATATAAAGAAATAATAATACAACCATAAAACCTTATATTAAACCTATATAAAAGGTAAAGGTTCCCTTCCTCGAAAGCCAGTCGAGTCCGACTCTAGGGTTGCGGTGCTCATCTCCGTTTCAAATCCGAAGAGCCAGCGCTGTCCGAAGACGTTTCCGTGGTCATGTGGCCAGCATGACTAAACACCAAGGTGCACGGAACACTGTTCCCTTCCCACCGAAGTGGTACCTATTTATCTACTTGCAATTTCTTGCTTTCGAACTGCTAGGTTGGCAGGAGCTGGAACTAGAGATGGGAGCTCGCTCCGTCATGCGGCACTCAGGTCTCAAACTGCTGAACTACCAACCTTCCGGTCTGCAATTCAGCGTCTTAACCACTTGAGCCACCTATATACAAATATACATTAAACCTACATACAAATATACATATTCAAAGATTATCACATGGTGCTTTACAGAGTTAAATTTACGAATCAGGGTTAATTACGATAGATGCATTATGTCTGTTACAGTCTATATTTCTTCTTGAGTTGCAAGACAAGATATGATTGGAAACCATATGGTTATAAATTCGCTATAAATCAGTATCAGTTTGTTTCATTTCATGTTTTAATCCCTCACGACCACTAAATAACCTTTCGATGCTTTCGTTGCGTTTATGAATGCCCAGAAACGAAGATGCGCACACAGAATTGCATGCTCCAGTTTTTAATTTTTTTGCACCTTTGTATCCATGTGGGGCTTTATCCTGATGTGATGATTTCCCCTGGATTGTGAATTAGCAGGTTTCTAGGATCCTGAAGTAGCCACAGTTTTGATTTTCAGCTTTTGTTAGAAGAAGAAGAAGAAGAGAAGAGACTGGCTCTATACCTAGCCCTTCACTACAGAGCGGCTTACAAACTCCTTTTCCTTCCCCTCCTCACCACAGACACCCTGTTGTAGGTATGTAGGGCTGTCTTTCAGCTGTGCTCCTGCAGAGTGCAGGGGGTTGGACTAGCTGACCTGCAAGGTCCCTTCCAACTCTAACATTCTATGATTGTAGGTAGGCGGGACTGAGAGAGCTCTTGACAGAAACGGCTCTTTTTCAAGGACAGCTGTGCCAGAACTATGGCTTGCCCAAGGTCACACCAGCCAGGTGCAAGTGGAGGAGTGGGGAATCAAACCCGGTTCTCCCAGATTAGAGTCCGCCCACTTAACCACTACACCAAACTGGTTACCAGACAGAATTAGCAGTCTAGCTGAATTGGTGCAGTGGTGCAAATCCGTCTCCCCCCAGGCTCTGATAGTGGATGGTGCTAGGCAGCAGTGTTCCCTCTAAGCTGAGTTAGTGTGAGGTATCTCACAGTTTTCTAGCCTCCAGCTCTCACATTTTTGTCTCGGCTCAGGAAGGAGGGCTCCAGAGCAAACTCATTTATGCAGCAGCCAAATCACCCACTCACAACTTTAATGCCAGTCGCTCACAAAGTAGAATTTTTCCTCACAAGACTCCACAGCTTAGAGGGAGCATTGCTAGGCAGACAGCACAAGTTTCAGCATGTACCCAGCCTCATATTCATTCTCTCTCTCTCACTCACACACACACCTTTGAGGAGATGCAAAATAATTGCCGGTGTAGAATCTGTATTTCTAGTTTGTCTGGTCCCGTGCCTATACTCTAAGCTCCTTTCTTTAAAAATATATTACCCTGATATTTAAAGGTCATGAGAATAATTTCGAAAGAAAGAAAACACCCCCCCCCCCCAGTTCTCTGTATTCTTCAGTCTTTTCCATGTTGTCGGCAAGCCGGAATTTTTAGATGAGAGGTTGTAACCAGGAGAGGGCAGTAGAGCAATAACAAATAGACGTGATCTTTTCCAGGTTTTTTTCTTTTAGTTTGATGTTGCCTCAATGAAATAAGGAGTATTAGGTGACTAAAGAAAACGTCCCCTCCACCTTTCTCTCCACTCACGGTGACTCAAGGTGGCGTATCACCAGTTACAAATATTAATAACTTACTTGAAGGCGTCCCCTCCACCTTTCTCTCCACTCACGGTGACTCAAGGTGGCGTATCACCAGTTTCAAATATTAATAACTTACTTGAAGGCGGTAGGAAAAGAGCCAGCATGAGATCGATTGGCTCAATCAAGGAAAGCCACAAAGGCCCTCATTTTGCAAGACCTGAGGAAGGCTGTGAATGAGAGGACCTTTTGAAGGACATTAATTCATAGGGTTGTGACAAGTTGGAAGGGGCTTGGTGGTAGTTAACACCAGGGGTCATTTCGTAGAAAAAGAGGTGCAGGAGCTCATTAGCATAACTCATTAGCATAACTTATTTGCATATGCCACACCCCCTGACATCACCAGAAGTGTGTCAGAAGGCAACACCCACCACTCAGGCTCCACTGGACTGTTTTGGATTGCTAGCTATTGGGGGGGGGGGGACTCGCAGATCTGCCCTCACAGAGGAGGGAGAGCTTGTACCTGAATAAAACTTGGTCTTAAAGGTGCCACTGGAGTGCTCAACCACTCTGACAGTCAGGAAGTTTCTCCTGATATTTAGCCGGTAACGACTCCCTTGTAATTTCCACCCATTAGATCTAGTCTTGCAGTCCGGAGCAAGAGAGAATAGATCCGCTCCATCTTCTACATGACAGCCCTTCAGATACTTGAAGACCGCAATCCTGTCCCCTCTAAGCCTTCTCTTTCCCAGGCTAAACATACCCAACTCTTTCAGCGTTTCCTCATAAAACTTGGATTCCAGCCCTCTCATCATCCTGGTTGCCCTCTTCTGGATACGCTTTTTTGCTGAAGCTTTTTTAATCTGTATGCTTGCCCATATGAATGAGATCTTTACTGTTCCTTGGCTCATGGCCTAGTTGCTCCCAGCTATTTAAAATTGTTGAACCTTTACGGATTTATTGTCGTTCCTGCCTTTTTTAATTGTTTTAATTATCTGTCTGTTATGGAGTTTTTTAAAAGGTTTTGTAACTTTTCTGTTGTGACCCACCCTGAGCCCGCTTGCAGGGAGGGCGGGATATAAACCTAAATAAATAAATTAAATACCCCCAACATCTTGTTGTTCTCTAGGGTGCTACTGGACTCAAACCTATACACATTATGAACGTGTCTGTTCCTGACTTGTCAAATACTCTGCGATATTGTCCCGGCTGCCGGACGTAGCGTGAGCTTATGGCCTCCCCTCCCCGTGCCCCACCGAATATTCAAAATCGATCTCTGTTCACAGGCCCAGTGGGAATGGCAGCGGCCGCCGCCGTGGCCACCGGCAAAAAAAGGAAGCGCCCCCACGTGTTTGAGTCCAACCCCTCGATCCGAAAGAGGCAGCAGACTCGTTTGTTACGGTAAGGGTGTGTTTTTGCCACGGGTCCCGAGATGGGAGTGCGGGCAATTGCTGGATTGAGGTGGGGAAACTCTTTGGCCTGAGGGCCACGCCTGCGTCTCTGTTTTTAAAGATTTCTCTGCAGAATCCATTCCTACATTAAGTCACTCGCTTGTGGATGAGACTTCCCAGAGATGTAATCCTAGGCTGGGCCTCTCTTTCTGTCGAGGACATAAGAACATAAGAGAAGCCAATTTTGGATCAGGCCAATGGCCCATCCAGTCCAACACTCTGTCACACAGCGGCCAAAAACACCAGGTGCCCTCAGGAGGTCCAGCAGTGGGGCCAGGACACTAGAAGCTCATTTATGTTGCCCCCCCCCCCCAGCACCAAGAACACAGAGCGTCACTGGCCCCAGACTGAGAGTTCCTATCTATACCTTGTGGCTAATAGCCACTGATGGATCTCTGCTCCAGATGCTTGTCCAATTCCCTCTTGAAGCCGTCCATGCTTGTAGCCGCCGCCACTTCCTGTGGCAGTGAATTCCATGTGTTAATCACTCTTTGGGTGAAGAAGGACTACCTTTTATCCGTCCTAACTCGACTGCTCAGCAATTTCATGGAGTGCCCATGAGTTCTTGTACTGTGAGAAAGGGAGAAAAGTCCTTCTTTCTCGACCTGCTCTATCCCATGCATAATCTTATAAACCTCGATCGTGTCACCCCTCAGCCGTCGTTTTTCCAAGCTAAAGAGCCCCAAGCGCTCTAACTTTTCTTCAACAGGGAAAGTGTTCCAACCCTTTTATCATCCTAGTTGCCCTTTTCTGCACTTTCCCCAATGCTGCAATATCCTTCCTGAGGTGTGGTGACCGGAACTGTACACAGTTTCTCTACCTGCTCTATCCCATGAAACACTGGCTTGTTTCATTCACAGCCGAGCTTGCTCAGTTTCACATGCCCTGACCCGGTGCCTGCTGACACAGTCTGGCCCCTTCTTTAAAAAGTCGGCAAGCAATTGTGTGTCTTACGGATGCCGCCGTATTAAAAACAGAAACAGCAGTCCTGTTTTGCAGGCGAGGTGGTATTGTTACCTAGCTCCAGCTGGGTTGCTTCCAATGTTCCCTCTAAGCTGTGGAGTCTCGTGAGCAAAAATTGTACTTTGTGAGCTACTGGCAGTAAAGCTGTGAGTAAGTGATTTGGCTGCTGCATAAATCAGTTTGCTCTGGAGCCCTCCTTCCTGAGCTGAGACAGAAATGGGTGAGCCAGAGGCTACAAAACTGTGAGCTAGCTCACACTAACTCAGCTTAGAGGGGACACTGGTTGCTTCCCCCCATGCTGGTGATGCTCTCATTTTATCACCCACTCATGTGGATACTCGGGGAAAGTGTTTTCCCTGGGATGCTCCAGCATCTTCCAAATTGGGCCCTGGGAGAAAGTGTATTGTTCTCCATTTCCTCCCCTCCTGGAGATGAGTCTACTAAAACGCTGCGGGAGGCATTCAGTTCCCGTACACTCCGACGGGGAGAACGGTCAGGGAAGCGCTTGACGTTAAAACTCAGAATGACTGTTTGTGCTTCAGGTGGCTAGCCGTGGCAAATGTCAGTGCTCGTGAGCCAGTTTGGTGTAGTGGTTAAGTGCGCGGACTCTAATCTGGGAGAACTGGGTTTGAGTCCCCACTCCTCCACTTGCACCTGGCTGGATGACCTTGGGCAAGCCGTAGTTCTGATCAGAGCGAAAAAAAAAAAGAGCAGTTTCTGTCAGAGCTCTCTCAGCCCCACCCACCTCACAGGGGTGTCTGCTGTGGGGAGGGGAAGGGAAAGGAGTTTGTAAGCCGCTCTGAGACACCTTTGGGTAGTGAAAGGCGGGGTATAAATCCAATCTCTTCTCTTTGTGCGGCTCTTAGTTATAAATGCACTCTTTATCTTACGTTGAAAATCACAGTATGTATTCCCTGAACCGGATAGCCCGGGCAAGTCAGATCTCGGAAGCTAAGCAGGGTCAACTCCGGAAATCACTTGGATGGGAGACCTCCTTGGAATACCAGAAGTCGGGAGGCAGGGGCAGGCTTTATTCAGCACCTGAATATCCTCCGGGCCTCCAGTAGGGGTCAGTCACCAGAGGTCGCCATGACTTCCAGTTGCACGCACACTCACATGCACATACAAACACATAGGCACATATAAAAATACAAAAAAATACACCCCCCCAGAAGAATCACAGTATAGGGCAAGGGTCCCCAACGTGGTGATCGTGGGCGCCACAGCACACTCCAACACCTTTCCTGGTGCCTGCCGAGTGTTTTTAGGAAGTGGCAGGGGCCAGATGGGACTTTCCCCCAGCAAGCTTTCTGATTGGCCATTGGTGGTTTGATGGGCAGTGCAGATTTTATAAAATGTCGCTTTGGCAGCAGCGGCCATCGCAGCACACGGATCTTCACTGTGTAACGGAAGATAAGCTGTGGCGGCCATTTTGTGGCTGGCTCCGCCTCCCGAAGCAGCCATTTTGTAGCAGCAGTTTTCTGGCTGTGCCCATCACACCAGTTTCAGGATTCCAAAGGTGTTTGCAGGCTCAAAAAGCTCGAGGACCCCCGGTTTCTAAGCCTCTGGAAGTGATACATCTGCATAAATAAACAAGTGTCACCTTTTGAATTTTGCTCCGAAATGTTCCAGAGGGGAATAAAGTTAAGTGCGGGCAGAGAGCCGTGCTTTTCCCAGGGAGGGAGTTGTCCCTCAAGGGGGACTCTGATGCAACACTCAGCCGAATATGCGCATTTCCCTGGGCCTGCTGTTGCAACGTGTTGCCGAGTCTTGCTCAGCACAGCTGAGCGTCCCCGGAATAATGCCAGCAGTGCCTCGGTGCAGGTTTGCGGTCCCAGGGCTCGCCGAATTTGTGCCGCACACAACACAAAGTATTGCAATGGACCGACATATTCAAGTCAAGTTTATGGCGTTAAGCCCACAGCCGTAGCAAATGGCATTAGGAAAAACAACGCAACGTGGCGTAAAACAACAGTGCAACATAGCATGAAGCAATTCTACTATATGGATATTCTTCTGTTTAACTTTATTGCTTGTGACTGTGTGTACCTGATTTATGCCATATGATTTGACCGTATTAATAAAGCTGGATCTGAATAGCATAAAAGAAGAAGAAGAGATTGGATTTATACCCCATGGCCCTTCACTACCCAAAGGTGTCTCAGAGCGGCTTACAAACCCCGTTCCCTTCCCCTCCCCACAATAGACACCCTGTGAGGTAGGTGGGGTTGACAGAGCTCTTGACAGAAACTGCTCTTTTTCAAGAACAGCTCTTGTCAGAACTATGGCTTGCCCAAGGTCATCCAGCCAGGTGCAAGTGGAGGAGTGGGGAATCAAACCCGGTTCTCCCAGATTAGAGTCCACGCACTTAACCACTACACCAAACAATCACAATACACATTAAAACCCATAAAATGTCCATTAAACACCTAGAAACATAATATGTAATTAACAAACATGAATCTTGGTAACAAAGGGCGAGGCTTAACAACGAACTACTGATCCTGTAATAGCACTGAGAGATCCAAGGTGAGCAAGATAACTATCGACTGACCACACCGGTGTCAGAGGGCTTTGACTGGATCTTTATAACTAAGGCAATAGATTTCGCCGTTGGTAATGTGACCCATTTATTTTGGTCTGTATTTTATTTTTATTTATTTATTGTTTGATTTATATCCTGCCCTCCCCAGAACGGGCTCAGGGCGGCTAACCATTAGGGCACAAAGCCAAGATTAAACAATTAGGGCACGAAGCCATGATTAAAACACTAAAAACAGAATAAAACAATCCAATAATACATAAAGTGCAGGTGCTCTAGATATCGCTACAGTCCTCTAGGTGGCACTTCAGTCCTCAATTCCAAGATGGGTTCTGGTAAAATAAGCCCAGAACAACGGCGTAAGATCTGTAACAACACTGCCATCCAATCTTCGTCCCAGGTCTGTCTTGCACCTCGGTGGTACCCACACCATTTATAGTGGCGGTGCGATGGTGGTACAGTGGCGGCGGCAGCTCCTACTCAAAAGCCTGGCGGAAGAGCTCCATCTTGCAGGCCCTGCGGAACTGCGCAAGGTTCCGCAGGGCCCAGGTCTCCTCTGGGAGCTCATTCCACCAGGTAGGAGCCGCCAGCGAAAAGGCCCTGGCCCTGGTCGCAGCAGTATTACAAGCGTGGACCAGTCTGATCATCCTGGATATCGTGTTAAAATCATAGAATCATAGAGTTGGAAGGGACCTCCAGGGTCATCTAGTCCAACCCCCTGCACAATGCAGGAAATTCACAAACACCTCCCCCCCCCACACACACCTCCAGTGACCCCTGCTCTATGCCCAGAAGAGGGCCAACCCCCCCAACCCTCCAGGATCCCTGGCCAAACTGTCCTGGAGAAAACTGCTTCCTGACCCCAAAGAGGCGATCAGCATTTCCCCGGGTGTGTAAGAAAGGGCCACGAGAACTAAGCACTGATGCAACCCTTCCTGCTCTCCCTTATCATGGCCTGCCTAAGTTCACGGAATCAGAATTGCTGTCAGATGGCCCAATGCTCCTAAGGTAGTGTTCACGATCTTGGGCACCAAAACACCACGTGGGCCAGGTCCTCAACAGATCGCTGGAGAGCAGACTTGCTCGTTATATGGGATATTGTTGTAACGACCTCTGAACACTGCTAGTGGGAAGCATTGTTCCCTCTAAGCTGAGTGAGTGTGAGCTAGCTCACAGTTTCTTCGCCTCCGGCTCGCACATTTTTGTCTCAGCTCAGGAAGGACGGCTCCCGAACAAACCAATTCATCCAGTAGCCAGGTCGCTCGCTCACAACTTTAATGCCAGGAGCTCACAAAGTAGGATTTTTGCTCACAAGACCACAGCTTGGAGGGAGCGTAAGATATCTAATTGTGCCTTCGTCAAGGCTTTCCTGTACTCGGAATTTAGTAGATCAGTAAAATAAGCAGGAAGATTTAATGGAGGGGGAGAGAACTGCCTATAAAGGG